AACAAAATAGATCTTATTATTAATTTATTACCAAACAGAAAACAATAAACTTGCGGAAAAGATAGTATACCGCAAACATGAGGTGCAAAACTTTGTACACCATATCCGGATTTCGACAATTAATGTCTCTTCAGTGATGTTAGGAATCGAAACGGTATTTGGAAGGCCATATCATTTACCTCAATTTAGGATAGACTCTTGAATTTTGAAAGAGTCAAAATAGGATGAACGGATCATATAAACCCGAAGGCAAATATAATACAAGCCCAAACGAAAAAATATAAACAAGTCTAAATTGAAAACAACGTTCAAATCAATGATTGCGTTGGATAAAAACCGCAATTTTTATACGTGTGCATGCAAAATAAATTTCTTGGTAGAGGGGTCTAAATACAGCACAAACAACATTTTCCAAAAGACCAAATGAGTGAAAAAGTATATTTTAACAAAACGCATTTGACTAGCAGGTCGAACAACTGATGTTCTTAAACCCTGCTGACTGCCATTGGCGATTGCCAAAAAAACGGATCACAAGATGTAACAAAATAGATCTTATTATTAATTTATTACCAAACAGAAAACAATAAACTTGCGGAAAAGATTGTATACCGCAAACATGAGGTGCAAAAATTTGTACACCATATCCGGATTTCGACAATTAATGTCTCTTCAGTGATGTTAGGAATCGAAACGGTATTTGGAAGGCCATTTAATTTACCTCAATTTAGGATAGACTCTTGAATTTTGAAAGAGTCAAAATAGGATGAACGGATCATATAAACCCGAAGGCAAATATAATACAAGCCCAAACGAAAAAATATAAACAAGTCTAAATTGAAAACAACGTTCAAACCTATGATTGCGTTGGATAAAAACCGAAATTTTTATACGTGTGCATGCAAAACAAATTTCTTGGTAGAGGGGTCTAAATACAGCACAAACAACATTTTCCAAAAGACCAAATGAGTGAAAAAGTATATTTTAACAAAACGCATTTGACTAGCAGGTCGAACAACTGATGTTCTTAAACCCTGCTGACTGCCATTGGCGATTGCCAAAATAACGGATCACAAGATGTAACAAAATAGATCTTATTATTAGTTTATTACCAAACAGAAAACAATAAACTTGCGGAAAAGATGGTATACCGCAAACATGAGGTGCAAAAATTTGTACACCATATCCGGATTTCGACAATTAATGTCTCTTCAGTGATGTTAGGGATCGAAACGGTATTTGGAAGGCCATATAATTTACCTCAATTTAGGATAGACTCTTGCATTTTGAAAGAGTCAAAATAGGATGAACGGATCATAAAACCCCGAAGGCAAATATAATACAAGCCCAAACGAATAAATATAAACAAGTCTAAATTGAAAACAACGTTCAAACCTATGATTGCGTTGCTTAAAAACCGCAATTTTTATACGTGTGCATGCAAAACAAATTTATATATATAGAGTCTATAAGAATCTATCAACCAGTAAACTTAATAGGTATTGTATCATCAAAATTGACAATACTACACAAACAGGGAAAATTATATGAGTCTAAAAGATTGTGTAACAATACCGATAAATAGATGGAAAACAAAACACTAAAAAGTGTTGAATATCATCGCACAAAGATGGAAAAACTGAACAGATGATATAAATTATACAATAATCGCAAATATTTCGGCTCAACAAATGGCCTTCCTCAGTGTTAAAATTTTTAACAATACTGATATATAATGTATAAGGTGTAAACATAGATCAGTAATAATACAGGTAAGTTTTGGTCGATTGATTTTAATCCAAAATCCTGAATATCAAAATATAAACATTAGACTGTAAATTTAATTATTTCTTTCTATTGATTCCATTTGGATGGAGGACACCAAGTGTTTTTATCCAAAACTTCTCCCGATTCTCTCTTTGCCTATTTTGCCATGTACAATCCTGTTCGATCACAAGGATCTTCATGTGATCAAAATCTTTCAGATTGTGATCTGGTAACCTGAAGTGTTGGCTGACAGGAATATACGGTTTTTTTGTGAGGTCACTCCTGTATATATATACAAGTTTCAATTGATAACAACGTTCAAACCTATGATTGCGTTGGATAAAAACCGCAATTTTTATACGTGTGCATGTAAAACAAATTTCTTGTTAAAGGGGTATAAATACAGCACAAACAACATTTTCCAAAAGACCAAAAAAGTAAAAAAGTATATTTTAACAAAACGCATTTGACTAACAGGTCGAACAACGGATGTTCTTAAACCCTGCTGACTGCCATTGGCGATTGCCAAATAAATTGATCACAGATGAAACAAAATGATCTTAATATTAATTAAATACAAAAAAGACAAAAATAAATTTGTGGAAAAGATGGTATACCACAACCATGAGGTGCAAAAATTTGTACACCATATCCGGATTTTGACAATTAATGTCTCTTCAGTGATGTTATTATATTTGCCTTCGGGTTGATATGATCCGTTCATCCTATTTTGACTCTTTCAAAATTCAAGAGTCTATCCTAAATTGAGGTGAATTATATGGCCTTCCTAATACCGTTTCGATTCCTAACATCACTGAAGAGACATTAATTGTCGAAATCCGGATATGGTGTACAAATTTTTGCACCTCATGTTTGCGGTATACCATCTTTTCCGCAAGTCAATTGTTTTCTGTTTGGTAATAATTTAATTATAAGATCTGTTTTGTTACATCTTGTGATCCGTTTATTTGGCAATCGCCAATGGCAGTCAGCAGGGTTTAAGAACATCAGTTGTTCGACCTGCTAGTCAAATGTGTTTTGTTAAAATATACTTTTTCACTCATTTGGTCTTTTAGAAAATGTTGTTTGTGCTGTATTTAGACCCCTCTACCAATAAATTTGTTTTGCATGCACACGTATAAAAATTGCGATTCTTATCCAACGCAATCATAGGTTTGAACGTTGTTTTCAATTTAGACTTGTTTATAATTTTCGTTTGGGCTTGTATTATATTTGCCTTCGGGTTTATATGATCCGTTCATCCTATTTTGACTCTTTCAAAATTCAAGAGTCTATCCTAAATTGAGGTAAATTATATGGCCTTCCAAATACCGTTTCGATTCCTAACATCACTGAAGAGACATTAATTGTCGAAATCCGGATATGGTGTACACATTTTTGCACCTCATGTTTACGGTATACCATCTTTTCTGCAAGTTTATTGTTTTCTGTTTGGTAATAATTTAATTATAAGATCTGTTTTGTTACATCTTGTGATCCGTTTTTTTGGCAATCGCCATGGCAGTCAGCAGGGTTTAAGAACATCAGTTGTTCGACCTGCTAGTCAAATGCGTTTTGTTAAAATATACTTTTTCACTCATTTGGTCTTTTGGAAAATGTTGTTTGTGCTGTATTTAGACCCCTCTACAAAGAAATTTGTTTTGCATGCACACGTATAAAAATTGCGATTCTTATCCAACGCAATCATAGGTTTGAACGTTGTTTTCAATTTAGACTTGTATATATATATATATATATATATAAGACGACGTAATGATTTGACCTAATGTTGTACTATATGCTATGATCTTTGAACAGAGGTAATACTGATATCATATGTATTGTCATACATTCTCATTGATATTCATGGATGAAAATTTTAAGATCGAGGAACTTGCATCATGACAAAACCCAAAGTCGACGGTGTGTCGTGATCGATATATTTCTATGTAAGGAATGGTTAACAGACTGATATATCGCTAATTATATTTATTTCATTATAGAATAACCAATATCTTCATTGATTGTAATTTGTTATTCATGAAGGACCACAATGCGTCCTACAGGTTTTGAAGTCGGTTTTTTCGGGAGGGGGGTTGGGGGGGGGGGGGTTTGGATAGGGGAGGTAATTGTTTAGGGCTTAGAAATCGTTGAAGAGGAATATTTTTTTAATTTTCTAGTTCAAACGGCTTGTGAACCGGTAAATACAATATGCTGCATTAACAGCAATTAGTTTCGTACCTATTTCATAAAACGTTGAATAAAGATTTGGATGTCAGAATGTTTACAATATAAAATGTTTTAATGAATTTCGAATTACGATACGAAATTGTTGATTCTATATTATCGACATTAACTGTACTCGTGTTATTTGGCATACCAAAAATGTACTCATTTTAAAAGGGGGGTTCTGATTACGTAAGTCAACATATAAGCACGTGTTCGGCTAGTTTTTCTTTGTAACTGGATTCAAAATTCATTTCTTAATCTAGATTTTTATTACCATTTGCTGTGACCTTATTAAATGATGCTGCGAGCAATCGGCTATCTTGATCAAGTGATCTCCTGTCAGGTATGTAGATCTACCTGTACACATGAATAGCGATCAGTAGTCGGATATCCCTCAGGGCTTTTAAACTGTTATCAAGAAGGCTTTTTGGGTTATAAAACAAAAGTCGTCTAAGGGTTATGCAAGCATATGCAATTATTTATATTTGCTAAGAAAAAGCAGCGGCTAGCGAAACGAAAAATAAATTGGCAATGACGGGATCAATTGACGAGTGCGGAAAATAACTTAACGATGGCAGAAGATATTTTAAATATGGCGGTGTTTCATCATATAACAGGTCAAGGAGATCCCTGATCCTCTTTTTGATTATGTTAATAAGCATCTATAAAAAAATAATTTTATCTCTGACGCGGTTAATAGATTTTGCAGATTAAAATTAAAGGACGCACTATAAATCGACTGTCTTCAATAAAGTTAACACATAATGTATAGGTGTTCAAATTTACAAATATACTGGAAACACATGTGTGTAGATATAACATACAGACATACTTTTTTTTCCACGTATGCTCAACAGAAATGTTGAAGATTTATGATACTCGAATGACATAAGACTGCGGACAAATAAAATAAAAAGTGCAACACAACGTATTGTTGGGTATACTGTATAGTGCATCTCTTGATTAAGCATATAAATAGGATATGGTAATAGATCAACACGATGAAAGAGATTGAAAGGTTTTTTTCTTATCAAAAAGTACAGATATAACTGATACATTTTCAATCAAATCGAAAATTTCTTTGACCAGTATATTTATAAACGGTGCTTAAAATATCATTATTTGATAAATTTCAATACAAACAAGACTTTTCATACATAAGGATAGAAAAGTAGAATTAAGTTTGGGAACAAATCATAGATGCTGCTTTATTCCAATTTACATTGCATATTGAAGATATTGGAGTGTGTAATAATTAATTAACCATTTAAAAGTATGTCTTCATCACTTGATCATACAATTGCGATTAGTCGGGTAAAAGTATCATTATGAGCATGTTGAGGTGGTCATATGTCAATGACATCATCGAACCGTTCATTTGTCACCTGAGTGACACGTACGAAATAGAGTGACCCATCAAGAGTAAATCTTCTCTCTTCGGGTGGCCTTTCATACGTAAATATATGAGGCTCCTCTTTTTTGAAACGATCTAACTTTGTCACGAAACACCACACACCGGCAAATCTCATCACTTTAAAAAATATTTTTACATGTTTTGCATCAATAGGTATCTCAATAGCTTTGCCACTTTTGGTTTCTTTTTTCTGCAGTTCATTATCCTTGTCTGTGTATTCTACGAACATTTTTGACATCCAATATCCTTTTGATAAATATATAAACCGAGCACTTGTTAGAAGATGACGTTTCTTCTCTTCATCGGTAAGTTTCTCTGTATCATAAATGACCGGTTTACGTTTTAGGCAAGGGACGTCGGTGTTTGTTTCTACCATACATTCACGATAAGTCAAATGTAATTTTTGGTCTAAATTATATCTTGCTTTTTGCCTTTCATGCTGGTTCTGCAATTTTCTTGCAGCAGTATCTGAATTGTCGGATGCTTCATTTTTACTACTTAAATTGTTACATTTATTACGACTTTTAAAATCTGGAGTGCTGCAAGGCCTCTCTAAATCAGTACTTCTTTCAATATTATCTAAATTTCCATTTGTATCAAGTGTTTCTGGTTTCTGGTTTTCTGGTTTTTTCTTCACTTCACGATCGACCTTTATTTCATTACTTACGTGGTCAACTGTTGTAGCTCCAACATTGATACCTATTTCCAAAACAACACTTTCTGCAAGTTTTTTTCCACCTTCTATTAAATGTTCCGTTACTGGTCGATTTTCCTGTTCGTCGTCTAATCTTTCCGCAACATAACCCTTTACTAACTCAAGTACAGACTCTGTACTTTTATTTGTGACACCTTTGCTCAAACTTTTTGCCAGGGCAACTCCAAATCTCCTTGCACCTGGAACCAGCCTTTCTTCTATATTAGTAGCAGATACCTCAGCAGACAAACCAGTTAGAGAACCAGCAACTGCCCCCACGGCTATTCCAGTCACACCACCTATAGCAGCACCTGTCAATGCATGAACAACTACCTCCTTAAATGTCACATTTTTACCATCGACTAATTTCTTCTCAGCATCTGCAGCAAGAGAAAATGCTGCTCCTCCTACAGCTGATGAGCCTGCACCCATACCTATAAACTGCCCAACTGTTGTAACGGAAGCTTGCGCAGCAGCGCTTCCTATGCCTGCAATTGCCGCCGTTATACCCACACCTGCTCCACCGCTTACTAACCCAGCACCAAATCCAAGGCCGAAGCTTTTTGCATAGTCCTTAAAGTCACAGCCTTCTTCGATACTCTTTCGATTAATACTTCTGAAAAAACTTTGAAGGCTTCCACCAAAAAAACCTGCCCCCAAAATACCACCAACAACCACTGCAGCAGGTGCTGCCAGTCCTGCAGTCCCTATGCAGAGTGCCAATCCACCTGCACCTAAAAGTAATGAACCAATCATTACACATAATCGTGTTTTGTACTTAGTCTTATATTCTGGCCTAAAAATTGATTTCCACCTGGATACTGAAAGCCATCCTTGACTGTAATCAACTCTGTTATGATATTTGCCCCTCTCTTTTGGATCACGCAGAATGTGGTATGCTTCATACACTTTTTGTGTCATGTCATTATCAGCATTCTCCCCAGCGGTATCTGGATGCCAGCGCAATATTTCCTTTAGGAAAGATTTTCTTATTGCTGTTTCTTGTTTCTCTTTGTCTAATTTTCTTATTTCTTCCATGTTCAGCTTAAGTATTTCATAGAGGTTTCTTCCATCGTCCAGTGATGCTTGTTTTTCAACGTTTAATTTTCTTATACACATAGTTTTTTCCAAAACATGGTCTTCTAAATCACTTTCAGTCACGCTCTGGCTACTGTTGATTGAAAAGTGCATGTCTTGTTCCCATTTTCTAGTCTTAACAACTGTTGTTTTACTTTTTTCGTAAATTGTTTTGATTTTGAATTTGAATCCATCTTTGTAGCGGTGCAAGTGAGCTTCTCCTCGTCGCAAAATCTTTGACGAACTCGATATCAAACATACTGGGTCATGCTTTGAATAAAAATATACTATCACTTGACACTCCGTATCAAATGTGTTGTTTTTGACTAAAATAGATTTATAATCTACCAAAGCATCCATTCGATTGATTATAACTTGATCGAAATATAATGATAGCCTTTATAAGACAAATGCAGCATTTCAATATCAAATCTGGCAGGCTACCTTTTTCTCAGTCAAATTTCGTAAATGTTTCTAGTTCCAATTTGCTGATTGGTTCTGTGTATTTTAATGGTACATGTGAAATAATGTAAATATTCCGAGCCTCACTGTGTAAGCAGGATTATTCATCAGTGTTCTAAAAAAATCCAATAAAAAACATTAAATAATGAAATGTACACAAATGCATGGTTAATATATATATATGTATTATTTTACTCAACGTAATGTCAACTAATGTACCCACCTGGGGATTAGTACTTGTTGACAGGTGTTTATTTCTATGTGTACATATAGATTCTACCACTGCATCGAGTGAAATACGATATATATCCACTCGAGACAGTTAAATTTTCAAATTTGAAACGCGAGGCTCGCAACAAAGCAAAATTATTTCTTCTTTTCAAATGATCTGCAAAAAGATGTGTTCTTTCTATGTGACGTCATCAGGCATGGTCGCCTTTTTTTCATGCCGTCACAATAGGAAATTCAGGGGAAAGCAAGAAAATTCGACGTCATAATCGAATTTTGACCAATGAAGATCTGAGATCAACCGAACCACATGTTGATTAAATAAAAATAATCAACATGTCAGGAAAAGAATAAATCGTGTAAGAATTAGAGAAATTATTTTTAATACTATCACAGCAAACCAGTAAACGTCTGAAATCGCCTATATCTTTACTCGACTCTACTGATTTTTACTCGACCAGTCTGGATTGGTCTGCATTTTACTTGACCCCAATCCAAACTATACTCGACTGTACTGATTTGTACTTAACCCTTATCTTTGCCATTGAAAATAGTCTGAACTATTACTCCACAAGTCTTAAACAGTTTTAACCCATTCTGGACATGTACTCTACCAATACCAACACCTGACCAGTTCTACAAACAACTTATGAGATGTTTAGGCATGATTGGGTATAACAGAAAATTTTGTTCAGATTTTGCTACTGTTGTGTAACCATTTACTCATCTTTTACAAAAATTTTCTAAATTCATCTGACGTGATTATTGTCAAAACGCTTTTGAAAATAACAAACTGCGTTTTATTAATAGTCCAGTTCTGATCACTCCAGGCTTTGAAAAACAATTCAAACTTGCCGTTGACACAAGCGCTGTAGGAGTCGAAGCTTTTTATCGAGACAGATGACAATGTTGAGAAACCAATTTCATATTTTTCTAAGAAATACTTAGTAAGATACACATCAAAACAAATATTCAACAATTGAAAAAGAGTTTTTTGCATTGTATTCTCCATAGTATCCTACTGGTTTCACTGTAACAGATCTTCGTCCGAAATTAAATAGATGGAACGAGAATCTGGAAGGCATTTCTATATAATTATGTACTTTCACTTTCGTTACCCCTGATACCGTCGCCAGCAACCATATCCTTGAAGATTTGTTAAACAGTGAAACCGATAGGATACTATGGAGGATACTATTGAGAACATTATGAACAATTTGTTGTTGTAATAGACAAAATGTGAATATTAATATTGAATATAAGTATTTGGTGCATTTTCAGCCTTATTATTTTCCCTATATTGTGCACAGCGTGGACAAAATTTATAACTTTTCAAAATATATAGATATATACTTTTCAACAAATCTAAATTGAAAACAACGTTCAATTTTATATACTTTTCAATATATATATATATATATATTTTTTTTTTGGGCTGATGTTTAGACGAATTATATATACAGAATGTATTGTTAGCCTTGTATCACCATCACTGCTGGTGATCCGATGGATCAAATATGTTATAGAGTAGTCGCTGGTTCAGACGTACTTATATATATATTTATATATATATAGCTTGCGTTTCCTATTATGATTGCTCTTATAGACTGTTCTCTTTCTTTTGAAAGTAAGGAAAAACGATATCTTTGCATACAATGGATGCAAATATGCATAAAGACTCTCGCCATATCATCATTTCGGTACCATTAAAAGCGTTTCTTACAAGGAAGCTTTTTTGTTGTTAGTCCGTTATCGAATATCTGTGCCATAGATCAGACTTGGGGTTATTAAAATGTAACTTTATAACATGCATTCAGATACAAATAAGAAAGAAATGGTAATTTAAAACTGTATTAATTGAGCATATTACATATAAATGAAAATAATGAGTTACATTCCATTTGCCTTTTTGTCATGCTATTATGAGACCCTTAATTAATTTCAATTACATTGGCGTATTCATTGTTTCTCTGATGCAATCACACATGTTAACTGTGATTTTATTGACGTATGTAATCGGTTTATCAACTTAACTTTCATTCTGAATACTTCGAATGTAGATAATCAATATGTTTAGGGAACTTAGTTATTGACAATTCATTGCCTAAAATACATTAGACATCCTAATATTTATATTCGTAATATTTGTTGTAATTTTTCAACACTTGAATTGTTTTTCGGACATTTGCTGTTTTATTCATTCAATGTTTCTTGAAGTTTAATATTCACTTTTTTGCAATGCAGTCTCTTTCTGTTGAAAGTTTGGAAAAACGATCTCTTTGCATACAATTTCGAATCCTTTTTGTGAGTTCTTTTTGAAAATAGAATATGTTTAAACTAAACAAGTATGCACAAAGACTCTCGCCATATCATCCTTTCGGTACCATTGTTTCATAAATAAACAATCGATATTCGTATTGATAACTTAATTATTGATGCATTAAAAACAGGTTGAATAATGAACATTTCAATTGATATTTTAATAGCCATTGATTTGAGGTTTAACATCACAGTTTTTTATTCTTACATTGATGTTGCATTTTTCTGGTGATCATTTCAATACGTATCCAAGTGAGTGTCAGAACAAGTAGCATAATACTTTACAACCACAATACCCCCAAAAGATTGAACCATTATATACAACATCGACCATCTATAAAACGTCATTGCGATCAATCTAATGAGATATTATGAATACAATATCAAATAGGATATTCTTAACTAGTTTTATGTAACTAGATCAATTTTATAGTATATTCAACAACGATGTTTGAATTTATCATACACAACTTTGTCAAACAACGCGATTCATTTTAGGAAGGCGGTTATGTTAGCACTTTTGTCATTTCCTCTGTTCATACCGTAAACTTGGATATTTATGTAGCCCGCTTTAAAACTGAGACATAATACTTATCTTACTTTCTTTACATTTCTAGGAATATGATTGGTTAAAATGAAATGCATGAAGACCGTGTGAATTATTTTGTAGGCGTGGTTTATTTCAATTCACGGTTATTAGTGTTGTTACGTCTCTTTATAAAAACAAGATGTTCAGAGAAAGTCTAAAAGTTTTCAACAGACGAAGAAATTTATAATGAACGATAGAATAAATGCAGAAAACACATTCAAAGCAAACACGTTGTCATTGTTGGCTTTGCTTTGTATATGCCAATGGAAGTTAATTCTTAAAACTAAAGATTTGATAACTTTGAAAAACAAAAACTAAATGCCCCATGTTAAGATAGTCGGTAGGATAAATTCGTTACACAGTGTGCTAGGGGCCTAATACGAATTATATGGAGTCAGTAAATTCAATATGGGGTTCGGGATTCGTTCGAACCACATATTGAATATACTGACCCCATATATATCATATTAGGTCACTAGCACACTCTGTACGTTATGTTAAGGTTGATTGTTTTAGTATCGAAGTCAGATTCATTTCTAATAAGGACTTCGAAAAGTCCTTTGTGGTGCAGTTTCTTGAAGTATAAATGTACCTTTTTCCAGATAATAAGTTCTTAGAAAAATTCAGACATTTGCATACATTGCATAACTATATAGTTTAACAACGTTATTCTTTAGACGCTGCCCTTCTTATGAGCACTTATGATAAAGCTTTTGAATACCTTGTAAGTTTCAAACCTTTCCAATAGCATTGCACTCGGATGTTTTGTTTACATATCATATTTGAGTCTCTTAATTTGAATGGTATCAGGGGGTATTGACACAACTTATTCATTTCTACTTTCAATTCTTTTAAAGACAGACATACAATATTTTATTGATAATTTTGATACTTTTATGTTTAAAAGCTTCGATATTTGAAAATAGTATTCCATGAAGATATTCACTGAACAGAATTTTCCAAAATATCTGTTCTTCAGTTCACATGTATTAAACTCAAGGTTTTTCAGCTATATTTAACACTTTTATTTTACATTTGTGAGAATTGGTAAAACAATAGAATAAGGACCAGGTATCCATGTAATACAACATAATGATAAATCTATAATTAAAAGCCGCCATCTTTGTGACTAGTCAATGTTTTATGTCTCCGTGAAAAACGACTAGTCTAAGTGACTTATAAAGTTTTCAATATGTTTTGGACTGATCTGGATTTACTTTTGGAATATTCTTTCCAGTGAGTGTAACTTTTATGTCTAAAGTTTTGTTTTTAACAAGTGTTTTTCATAGCTTTTATTTGAACAAAACTTAAAATAGACCTCTCATTGACACAACAGACAACTACTCGCCACATATACCATACTTTAAACTAGAGGAAGACAAATTACGGTAATGGCCGAAGTAATAAAACAACTCAAGAAAAACAACAAAGAGTTTGAAACATATATTAGTAACAGTACGAAACAATCCAATGTTATTCGCGTTTGTGATGTTATATCGGAAGCTAATAATATCATAAACAAAACAGATGACTCTTTATTTTTGGAATCAATGCATAATCAACTCGCCCATCTAAAAAATTAAAAACTTTGGTCGTTCCCTAAACCAATTTCTTCATTTCGTCCTGTACTTGGTGATTCAATGGATCAGTTTTATAAATAACAGTTGGTTGTAAAAATAGGTTGGTAATAGTCATGAGCATTTTTTTTGTGCTTTGTATGCTTCCTTCAATCACCTCGTTATTAAACATCTAATTAATATACATAGGGTCAACAGTCAAGACATCAGTTGCCTTTGATCTAGAGTTTAATGAAGTAATTAAATGCTCATTGTATTTCGCGTCACTTAAATATTTTGGGTTATTAGATCAAATAGCCAAATTTCTGAGGAAAGAAAATCTCTACTTTGGTTGCCATTGTAACCAACCTAACACAGTGAATCCCGTATGTTCTGCTCTTAAATATTGTTTTTTATAGGAAT